ATGAAATGCAGCCATTATTTCATGTGTGTACATTCCCCTCAGAGAGATGAAGTGTTTATGCACATGTCACAAGTTGCTTACTACTCGTTAGCTCTTCTCAGCAAATACGGCAAAAGTAACAATTTTTTTTTTTTTTTACAATTTTAAGTCACCTCCTGAGGAACAGAAAACAGTAAAGAAGTATTAAGCATTGAAAGTCATTTTAAAATGCTGCTATCCTAGGGAGCCTTAAATTCTAGAAGTTGTAAATCAGCAGTCACCTCACAGACAAGGGTTTGAAAGTCAGGAACTTGAGAACAATTGAGTACATCCTTCTGAAGCCACTTGTGGAAGACTAGGAGTAGTAGTCTGTTGAGCTTATGAAAGAGAAAGATGTAACGATTCAGATAGGGAGTCCCTGTTCTCTTTAAACTTCAGCTATTCTTGTTTAGCCAATTCAGTTATTCCCAAATGAGAGCAAAATAAAACAAAATATAAGAACTTATCTATTTTATTATGCTTTGCAGTATTTACACATTGACAAACTAAAGGCATCACATTTTTCTAATCTGCTCACAGAACACATCTGTTGTACTGCATGGCAAAGTAGAAATATAAAGGAAACAAGATTAAAGAACACAGTGGCAATAAGATCTAACACTGGCAAACGACTCACTGTATGGCAGGCATTATTCTAATCTCTATTCATGTTTTAACATTTTGGAATTCCACAACAGTATTTTTTTTTTTTTACAAATAGGGAAGAGGAAGAGGAAGGACCTAAGTGATAGTAATAGTCCTGAGTTTTCAAACATTGAATTGGAGTCTATGCCTCTACTATTGGACTATGGAGTTCTTACTCTTTTTACCTAACTGTATAAAATGCGTGTGTGGAATACAATACATTTGTGTGTACACCAGGCAAACAGAAGTAAGCAGAAATTTGAAAACAGAAGAAATCTAAGTTGTTTTTTTTTTCTTCTCAGACAGAGTTTCTCTGTGTAGCTTTGGAGCCTGCCCTAGAATACGCTTTGTAGACCAGGCTGGTCGAGAACACACAGAGATCCACCTGCCTCTGTCTTCCAAGTGCTGGGATTAAAGGCGTGCGTCACCACTGCCCAGCCCAAGATTCTCGTATCTAAAAAGGTTTTGTGCAAGAAACAAATTTAGAATATACTGATTCACTGCTTAGAAAGGTCTGTGTTCTTTTTCTCAAGAGAGAAAATTGAGTTTATTTAAAGCCTATTCCATATTCATTAGTAGAATGAAAGGCTGCCTACATTGAACTTCAAAAGTACTTCATGGATAAACAATGTAACTACATCTTTGTTTTTAATTTACTAGAAAAGAATCTGTGCTTTATAAAGTTATTAAATCATACTTAATAGCTACTTTTTATAATAAAATTAACAATTGAAGTAGCTATTTTTATGTATGAATTCTGTAACATAGATTGAACTTTTTGAATAGCTTATTCATATTTATATAAATTATTTATTATAAGAAATTTATAAAAAAATACACCTTGCAGATATATTAATATAGTGACTCAAATAAACACTTGCCCATATGCAAAGTCTATGCAACTCATCAAATTCTCTATACAATCAGAGCAGCCATTTAGAAGCTGTGAAACTTCACTTTGGATTTTACACCTTCACTATCAATTATGTTTTTGCACTTATCCACTACATACACACAGATAAAAATGTACAAATAAAAATGAAAAATCAGTGACATTAAACTAGGAACACAATTTGCTTTATATTCTCTTTTACAACTCATGTGTTATTTATTTGCATCCTGTCCTTCCTCATCACCTAATATTTACCTTCCCTTGTTCTCCTAGAAATTCTTTCCCAACTATACTTCAGACAAGGGGTTACTATCCAGAATTCAAAAAGAATTACAGAAGTTAAATACCATGGAAATTAAACTGCCAATCAACAAATGTACTATTGAATGGACAATTTTCAAGAAAAAAAAGAAGAAACACAAATGATCAATAACTATTTTTTTAAATGTGCTCAACAACTTTAGTCAACAGGAAAATGCAAATAAAACTACTTTGGCCAACCACATCACCCAAGTCAGAAAAGCAACTGCTAACTAATCCAACAGCAAAAGATAGAGAGCATGTTGAAAACAGAGGAACCTTTATTCACTGCTGGTGGAGATATAAATTAATAGAGCATTATAGAAATCAATGTGGACGTTCCTCAAAAATTAAAAATAAAACTAGCCTATTCCTCAACTGTTTCATTCTCAGGCACATGCCCAGAAAATCTGATACTCCACAGCAAAGATGTTTGTATCCCTATGCTCATTTCTGTTTTATTCACTATATCAAGAAAACAGAACCAACCTAGGTATCCATCAGCATACTAAGGGTAATAAAAATGTGTTTATTTTAAAATAGAATGTTATTCAGCTCCAGAGAAAAATGATATAACAAAATTTGCAGAAATATAGATGGGCTAGAATATGTATGACTGTCTATATTCCTCAAAATGTCTATAATGTAATGTGTTTTATAAATATATATTAACATTAAATCTAAATATTTTAAGATACATTGTATGCTAATAAAGTTAGCTACTTAACTTAAATAACTTTTTTTTGACAAAAATATCTTACAATGTTTTGAAAAGAATATATTGGAATGACATCAAATAATATATAAGCCACATTCCCAGTAGGCCTCAAAAGGTGCTACTACTTCACTTTGGAATAAAACTTGAGCTAAAATTTCACATGTTTATTTATTTTATCTCAGAATTATTTCCTTTCTCATACTGAAATATTGAGTCTACTTTTCATATAACCAATTATAAAAAAATTCTACATCTTATGTGGCTCTCTGTTTGTTCCTTACTATTACATTGGTTTAATGTCTTAAGTACATTTTGAACTTGATCCTTCTTTCTTATGCCAGTGTAAACTGACTATTTCAGGTTAACTTTTTCCCTAAATAAATGCAGATCCTTTCCATTTTCTTAAATTGCATTCAGGTTTCCTTCCTTCCCATCTTATCTATTTTTTCCACTGCAATAGGGAAAAAAAACTTTTCCAAAATACAAATTCCATTATGTCCAATTTCAAGTCTATACCTTAGAATTAGGTCACATGTCTTTCAGTCTTGCTCCTGTGAAACTATCTTTCTTGAGTCCTTTCTAACATATCCAGTTTTCATTCCTTCCAGGCTTTGTGCACAGCGTTACTTGAAACTGCCATTTTGATGATTGCCAAATTGTGATTCATTCTTGAATACAATCCAAGTAGTCTGGAATCCTTGTTTCTTTTTATTGAAATAATTTTGATAGTTTATATGATTTTCTATTACACATTATGTTAAATTTCTATTGTTTACATGTATAGCTTTCTTGTTTATAAGAGGCTGGTAACAGAAAATTTATTTATCATTGTAACAAAATTCATGAGCACATGCTCTTAGGATTGTTTAGGGCTTTGAACTGATGTTTATAAAGGTCATTGATTTTACTAATTGATGTTTTAAATTAACTTATAAGGGAGTTATTATAAGTAGATTGCAGTGTCTATATTAAAAATGTCTAAGTTATTGTAACTATTTTTGTTACTGAATAAAACAATGAATTACTAATATGCCTATGTTCTGTCTATGCTTGTGGTCATAATTTTCATTCCTCAATTTTACAAGGATAATAAACAATGGCATTCAAAAACAGGATTTTAATTATTGTGTATACAATGAGTTATTGGACACTTATCAAAGAAAATGTTCTTTACCAACCCTTTGAATCCAATGCTTTTTTAAATTTCCACCCTCCAGTATCACACAAAATATACTGTAATAAATATCCAGACGTATAAATACTAAGCAAAAATATAATAATTTAGTTACATATTCATTCATTCCCAACTATTCAAGAAACATTTGATTATGATTTGTATTTGAGTTTTTCTAAATTTTAACTATTGCTTAGGATTCGACAAGATAAACAAGGTGCTGACTTATTTCCCCAGTTACGTAGTATCCATCAATAAAGTATTGATCTTTGACACATTGTCAAGATCTTAAACCAAATGGACACAATGTGTAAACACAGCTGTTTGTTTCAGTACTTTTACCCCAACTTGCTTTGTCCCTAACTCGTCAGTCATTTCTCTACTTACCCAGTGGAAAAGTGCCTTAAGAACTACAGGGCATAATTCCTATCCCACCATTGCGTTTAATAGGTTAGTTGGACCCCTCTAACTCCCTATTTAGCTTGCCAGTTTTTTCTCAAGAGCGAGCAAAATGACTTTATTTAGAGTGAAGCAATGGTACAGGTTAGAAAGGAATACACTGCTAAGATTGACAGCAGTCCTCATGAGTAAGTACTCAAGGGCCCTGACTACTGCTTGTGGCTTCTTTTTATGGGTTCAAGAGGAAGAGTTTGATTCCTGGCAGATGTAGTGAGAGTGGTTCTCTTGTTGTTGTTGTTCTTGTTGTGTTTTTTAAATTCTATTACTTACTTACTGTCTGGGAGGTGTGAGCATGCAGTGGCATCGGTGTTGAGAAGGCAGGACTGCTTGTGAGAGTTCGTTCTTTCCTTCCACTATGTGAGACAGAGATTAAATTCAAGTCATCAGCTTTGGTAGCAAGCACCTTCACCTGATGATAGCTTGCCAGTTTTACAAACCTGTGCTTGACTTTTTTTTGTCCTAAACAGTTTTCTACATAAAATATATCTATTAAATACCTTTTCAATTTAATTCAGATTTACTTTTTATAGAAAATAAATATTATGTACATGTCTGTTTTTATAAGACCGAGTATTGTTTAATTGGTAGACAGTAGACAATCCTTTGAAATAAGCCAAGGAACCAAAGAGAAGCAGTAAACAATAGAGGTTTTCTCCTTTATCTTTATTTATTGGTTGAATGATTGATTGATTTGTTTGTTTATTTATTTACCTGAAGAAGTTAAGCACTCTGCATTGGCATCCTTTGCATCCCATTCACAGTAGGTTACATTTGCATTCTGCTCTATTTCAGGAACTCCACATATTGTATGAAAGTATCCATCTCACTGACAGTAGGAGAAAACGACACTGGACTCTGCTACAATTCCAAGATGAAGTACTTTGAAAAAGCTGAACTCAGCAAAAGCAAGGAAATTTCATGCCGAGACATAGAGGACTTTTTATTACCAACCAGAGAACCTGAAATCCTTTGGTACAAGGTATGGGCTGTGGAAGATTTTACTGCCTACAAATAATTTAATGTGCATCTTATTCTAGAGAAATCTGCGTGAAAGATTAGCTAAGATATACCTCATGTCTTACAGAGTGCTATAGCAAGTTGTGCTGGTCATTATAGGTTTTGTTTATGAGATTTTATTTAATTTTATTTTATGTGTATGAGTGTTACCTGAATGTATATCTGTACCATGTGCATGCAGAACCTGAACAGGTAAGTAGAGGTCATCAGATTCCTGGGACTGGAGTTAGAGATGGTTGTGAGTGGCCATGTGGGTTTTAGGAAATAGATCTTGTTCATCTGAAATTGCAGACAGTTCTTTTAACTGCCTAGCCCCTTTGTCAACATAAGTTTAAAACCCATATGCTTTGATAAAGTATTGGTTAATATTAGCACGGCTGGTCTACTGTATAAGTTGTTGTGTTAATATTAAAATCCTGCTTATATTAACAACTGTTACACAAATTTGGAAACTGAAAGAGACTGAACAATCATTTCTGGGCTTAGCATTCCAGTATATCCCAAGGCAAGAGAGAAACAATACTTATTTGTTTTATGGTACCCTAATTTCAATGGAATATTATTTTGAATGGTCATAACTTTGTGTATATTATAATCATTTCATATATAAATAGGCATATAAATAACATATTAGAAAACAGATAATATTATAATAGCAGCATTTTCTTCAAAAAGAGAATAACCCAGTCCTCTTTGGCTATCACATTGCTGATATTTAACGGTCTTCCAAAAATGCTTATGGTTTTAAGCTTATTTTTATGATCCGAGAGTATTTTTGGTTTTGGGCACACTCAAAAGTTAATATAGTATCTGTGAGTGTTCATATGGAAATAGTTTGTTCACAAATAAAAACTCCTAACTTACCATTTTCTTTGTCTAATTGGTTGGGAGTTGGACTTTAAGAAACTGGGCTTCATACTACTTAGTGTACACCTATCAGAATCAGAATGTTAACCCTTGTAATTAATTGCCCATGAATTAGAATTAAAACATAAAACAAGGAACCTGAATAAGTTCAAAAACATTTCTTTACAGTTAGCAGCATTCTTCTCAAAGGCTTAACTTTAATTCTGGATAACAAGCAATGGAATCTCAGAGCATCATGGGAACTGTTGAACAATTTTTCAGTTTTCCCTTAGTTTCCAGTCCTGGACAATGTCAAATATCACTAAGCTATTAGCCCAACAGGGAACATTTAAGAATATGATGAAACTAAAGCTTTCTAAAACCATATATTTTTTCTAGCACTTGTGTGTGAACATTCAAAACTCAAGCTTTTTGTTTTTTATGAATAAGTTGATTTTGAGATATATATTTTTCCTTATCAATTGCAGTGAACATTTTAAGTTTTTCTGAAGTATAAGAGTAAACATACATACTTGTGTACCTTTCATTTAAAATAAATTCAATAAATTCAACTTCAATTAAATTTTCCTGGTTTCATGTTATTCATTTCAATATGTTGTCAACACTGTAATAGTCATTTAAGCTATAAAAAGCTTATTTTTTTAGTCAAGCCTTAACCTCTGCCACATAATATGGACATTAAGAGGCTAACTCTAAAGTATGATACTTTAATAAATATGTATTCAATTATTACTGTTTATGTAATTAATATAAGCAAATATATGTGTATTTTGGTTTGAAATAACTGAAAAAAAACTACATATAATTACACAGAGGCACTGACCCACATATAATAAAGGCCCTTAAAAACTTTACTTGACAATAAATAATATTGCCTGTCTATAGTTTCCAAAAAATTTAAAGTGATTTTGTCCTCCTATTAGTTTACAGACTAGTTTGAGAATAGGAATTTATGTTTTTGGAAAAACAGAAATCTTTTGGCCCAATAACATCACCATCAAACAGATCACAATTTTGTATGTCTATTAATAATGAAAATAGATATTTATGGTATGTGACAAATGAAGATCACTTATTCACTAATATTCAGAGCATAATCTAGTATAGCTCTTATGGAAATCATTACAGATACTTTTCAAAATGTTAAAAATAGAACTTCCATATGACAGAATCATACCATTGTTGGGATAGACCCAGATAATCATATATCCTACCACAAGATACATATGTATCTATTTTATTGCTTCATTTTCACATCAGTAAGGAAATGGATCAAGTATACATGCCCATCAATAAATAAATGGATAAAGAAAATGTGGTATATATACACAATGTAATTTTGCTCGATCATAAAGAAAAAAACTTCAAGAAAATAGATAGATCCAAAAAGTATTATATTAAATGAAGTTTCCCCATCTTAGAAAAAAAATACATATTCTCAGATATACATATTCTGTTGCTGTATATGTACATGTAAATAAGAGTTTGTGAGAGTGATCACAGATTATCAGATTAGATAGAACTGCACAATTGGGAAGAGGTGTTGCTAAAGCCAACTAAGATTGTCAAGGTAAGTGAGAAAGGTGACATGGTAGTAGAAAGGAGCATGCAAGGGCACAAATCAAGAGGGCAGGAGATAGAGAAGAAGAGTGTATAAGAGAAACAATAAAAGCAAATTTTGTTTGGAAAATGCCATAAGAAAAACTAATTATTTGTGTGCTAATAGAAAATCAAAAGGCCTTGTATACAAATGTTAACTGTTTCTTCAGTATATAGAAGTTTTGCATTTAATAACTGCAGCAATTATATTTTGGTATAGTATTAGAATAGAAAAATTTATCTTATAAAATTATTCCCCATTGTTTATTTAATAATACATTTTAAATTTTGTGTACTGAATACAAAATAGTTAATTTCACAATATTTCTCTATGATTTGCTTTTAAATTTTATGTTGAGTGTGATTAACATATACCTGTTATTGTATCTAACAAAATAATATGTATCTATTAATGTTACCCTGAAACTACTCTTCAAGATTTCCAGATTTAAAAAAAAAGAATGTAATCCTAACTTGAGGCAGGATGATCAGGACTTAAAGCCTCATCTCAGTTACATAGCAAGTTCAAAGCCAGCTTGATCTATAGGAGATCTTGTGTAGGTTTTCTTTTAATGAAACCAAAAACTACTGCTTTAGTGGTTCAACTTTTTTTTTTACTTATTATGTATACTATTCAATTTTATGTTCTTTGCATAGGAATGTAGAACAAAATCATGGAGACCAAGTATTGTGTTCAAAAGAGATACCTTACTCATAAGAGAAGTCAAAGAAGATGACATTGGAAACTACACATGTGAATTAAAATATGGCGGCTTTGTGGTGAGAAGAACCACCGAGTTAACTGTTACAGGTAATCACAGTCAATGTTTCATTTGCAAGTAAAGAAAATGCCTCATGAGTCAGTTTCAGGGCTGTATATTAATACTTTCAAACGTGGGTATGAAAATAAGCACTCAAGCAAATGCTGAGTGGATTCCTATAGGTGAAATTGATTCTTCCTTGTTTTTAAATTATCTTATGCTGAAATACATTTGAAAGGTTAAATAGAATATGTTTAGGGAAATATACAAATATTAGCTTTTGAAAGTACTTGAAATAATGAGTTTACAATGTTTGAAGATTATGCTTGTACTTTGTAGTGGTATTATTTTTAGAAACATTTTCTAGAGTAATGGAATGGAATACATGAAGTCTACCTCTGTATTTATGTGAACATTAGAAATCTACCTCTGCTGAATGTTAGAAAAATTCTTTTTCTGTTTCACATATTTATCACTATATAGATGACACATATGATGGAAATGCTAATCAAAACGACTCTGAGATACCATCTTAACACCTCTCAGAATGACTAACACTAATGACAGCTTATATTGGAGTGGATGTGTAGAAAGGGGAACACTCCTCCACATATGATCTCATAGGCTATAAAAAATGAAAACAATTTCAGAGAAAATCATTTAAAAATGTAAGATTCTTTTTAAGGATCACAGAATCATCCTCATATCTTGTTAATACAGAAAGTAACCAGAATAGTATTAGAGCACTGCTTATTAAAAACAATGTACAATTCACAAGTCTAACAAGTTTAGTTGAATTATTGTAAGCTCCAGAGTATAAGTTTACTAATGTATAAAATGATGAAGATGAACTTTGCCTTATGGGGGATTTTCAAATGTTAAAATAATTAAGGTAATGTGTATGCAATAAATTTGCAATGTAGAAAATGCAAATATTTAGAAATTTAGTTATGCAAAGAATTATATTCATGATCAATTTGTTATTTACAACAATAATCACTTTGTAAAAGTTCCTCATGAAAGGTAGAAGGGAAACCAGGACAAAAAAAATGAGAAATTACAGATATTTGCACATTCTTATTGAAAGAGGCTCTTGATGACTTTTTGGGGTCATATTTGCAAACCATTTTTAGAACAGCATAACTAATTAATTTCATACATTCACTAACTTGTAAAACAGCTTTCTTTTAAATGAAAAAAAATCTTTTTGATACGTACATGTATCCAAGCATCATAAGAATCCATTTCTTAGCTGGGTGTTGGGGGCACACACCTTTAGTCCCAGCACTCAGGAGGCGGGGGCAGGTGGATCTCTGTGAGTTTGAGGCCAGCCTGGGCTACAGAGTGAGTTCCAGAAAAGGCTCCAAAGCTATACAGAGAAACCCTGTCTCAAAAAAAAATCACAACAAAAAAAGAATCCATTTCTTTTAAATCTTGAACTATGATATAATTTGACTCAAAACTACATTGTCTGGGGGGGGCTTATTTGCCAAATATCCATTATTCTGACAAGGGGGAGATTCTTTACATGAGATGCTCTTTGGTAAAGGCTTTGATAAATATTAGAAAGAGCAAACAACTGACACTTGCAATTTATGATAGACTTGAATAGTCAACACACATTTAGTCTGTGGTGTGTATTATATACCCATCATAAGTGTGTGTATGATTTGCAATCATTTGGGTTACAGTTTGGCTGTGTGTAATAGATCAGTGTGCAGAAAAATTCAGAGGAGCACTTTATCACTTCTACTAATATTGTTTTCAACAGTTCAGTGAAAAATATGCCAGTATACACAATAAATATTGAAAATCTTCTGTTCAAACTTTAGCTTACAAAGTATACTAAAGTAGCTTTTCTAAATTTTAGGTATTTAGAAAGAAAGAACTTAAAATATGAATGAAAGTGATATTATGAATAAAGATAATATTGATTTCTTGCCTTAACTCTTCAGAAAGGAAAGTGTATCCATGGTAAACATATCTTTTTCTTTCTAGAAACACTAAGATTTATAAATACAATCCATTATTAGGTAGTTTGAAATTAAACATTTTGTCTTGACTGATAAAAAACTTGCATAAGAACATTTGGTAAACCTAAGAGTAGAACTTTTTACTCTTATATTGTTTTATAATTTTCTATACTTTCTGCACTTATACAAAAACTTCCAGTTTTTTTCATATGGAAATGAATAATACCTAAGTCCAGATATCCAAGAGAAATTTGATGATTTTGACACAAATCAATTATATAAATAAATGGGTCTCACTGTGATAAATCTATGCATTCCTGTGTTATGCATTCATTCTGAACCAACTCCCTTCTATTGCTCTTTTTCTGGTATGTCTTGCTCAGCTGATATCTCATGTAGGCCTGCTTTTTTTCTAAAAGGGAAACAGATGAAAGTGAACGTTGGGGAGAGGGGAGAAAGGAGGGGGAGGCTGGGAGGAGAGGACAGAGTGTGAACTGCAATTGTGATGTATTGTATGAGAGAAGAATAAAAGATACAGGAAAGAAAGTGCAAAATTAAACATGAATATATACATTTATTTATCCCTTTCATATGATGACTATTTTCTTTGGTCAGATTCCCAGGAGGGGGGGGAGAGCTGAATCATGTCACAGTTCTACTACAGTTTTTGTTTTGTTCTGTTTTGTTTTAGCAACATTCATACTAATTGCTACATAGGTGTTCCCCTTTCCTCATATTAAAGCCAGAGTTTGTGGCCCCCTCTCTCTCCTGTCTTACTAATTCTGACTGGGGAAAGCTAGCATCTCAATGTAATTTCATTTTCACTTACCTGAGGGCTAAGTAGTTGAATATCTAAATGATATTTCGCAGCCACGTGTATTTCCTCTTTTGAGAAGCCTATGCCACAATTAAAATATTTCCTTCATTTTTAATAATTGTTACAATTTCCCTTTCCTCCATCCAAGCCCTTCTATATATTCTTCCTTCCTTTCTTTCAAATTCATGGCTTCATTTTTTATTAATTGTTATTATGTATATATTTTTCCTAGGCCCTGCTGAATTTAAAATTTTCTGTTAAATAATCATTTATTACTCCAATAGTCTACCTTTATACGTGAATGACCTTTCCTCTCTTACAGCTTTCTATATCCTCTCTTTAATCTCTATCTCTTAATGCTTTAAACACACACACACACACACACACACACACACACACACACACACACACACACATATATATATATTTATATATATATATATATATATATATATATATATATATATATATTCCTAAGTACACAAATACAATCTGCCTTGTCTGTATAATATGATTGTATGTATGTTTTCCAGGATAATCATTTGGTTTTGGAAAACCAATTGGTGTGTTCAGGAAGATTATTTCTCTTACTCTCAGAATTCCTTAGCTGCCTGTAGCACTTTGTGTAGGGTTGTGGCCTCAAGGCCTTTCTCCCAAACTCATTAGCATGTCCATTTTTGTTGTCCTTGTTAAGATCATGTTTTGGCAGTCATGTTGGTGGAACTTTATGGTTATATCTTGTGAAATTCCTCTGCCTTCCCCACCCTAATGGACTCTGTCACTCATGTACCATAAGCTAATATAATTTTTTATTCTTTAATTTGTTTTTGGTCATAGTATTTTATCACAGGAACAGAAATTTATAATTCAATAGTTTTTCTAGATATAATAGTCTGTTAGCAGTTGTGGTATTTCCAGACATTCAATACCTCTTTATAAGCACTACTGGATTTAAAAGTTTCTGTTAAATAATCACTTCTTATTCTAATGGGCCTGCCTTTATAAGCGAATGACCTTTCTTTCTTACAGTTTTCAACAACCTTTCTTTATTCTCTATCTCTCAATGTTTTAACTACAAGATATCATGGGGAGTTTGTTTTCTGCTCCTGTCAATTTGATATTCTATAGAGTTCATACATATATAGGCAACATTTTCTCTAGGTTAGGAAATTTTTCTTCTATATAATTGAAAAATGTTCTATAAATGTTTGCCATCTTCTCCTTCCTTCATGCCCATAATTTGAAAGTTGAATCTCTCCACAATGTCCAAAACCTTTTTCTTGTTCTATTTTTAAAAATAAATTCTCATCAAATTTACTGTATGATCAAATTTCTCTACTCTCATCTAGTTCTGCTTTTTTGCTCACATGATCCAGTCTGTTGATGAAGTGATCACTGAAGTTTTTATTTGTCTTATTTAATTTTTAATTTCTACTATCATTTCAGTTTGATTTTTCTTCAGTAATTGTACATCTTTATTAAATTGTATTTTATGTCATGGATTGATTTTGATTCTTTTGAAGTATATTCATATCCTCTTTTAGTTGTTTACTCATAGCTTTATTTCAATTCGTTTTCTAGAAGATCTATGTAGTTCTCATTGTTTCTAGCCAGTGGTTTCTATTTCTAGTCTTTTTTTTTTTGAGAGTTTACTACACTCTGTACAAAGAGACATTATCCAAGAGTCAGAATGTCCTTTGTTGGTCCCATCCTCTGCTGTCTTTTGGTGTAGCTGTCCAAGTCCACTTGACTGACACTGAGGAAGTTCTGATCAATTGGTTCAGCTAGCTATGTAATGAGGAGACCTATGGAGTCAGAAGGGGAAGAACTTACCTGGGGCACTGGAAAGTGAGATCACAGTAAAGCAGGCAACTTTAAAGTAGGAATGACTGGGCTTTTCATGGTGGTGAGAGATCACAGAGGAACTGTGAAATATGGAAGCACTTGGAGGCAAGATTCAGGAGTTGCTGGCAGGACAAGTGAGGAAGAATGATGTCTGCATAGTAAGTAGCTCAAAGAAGCAAGATTGAGGAGGAGATGGACTGCCTTGGATAGTAAGGAGCAATCTTACCTAGTCATATGGGGAAAGAGTATCTTGGAGTACATGAGCAGGCCTATGGGATGAGAAGATATAGACCAAATTGGTGATTGAGGAGAGAAGGTGAATATAATTAGAGGTACCAAAAGAAGTGAAACTTTTTAAAAGAAGGAATGCAGATCTCTGCTGCCTATGAATCTGATGATTCCTTAATGATCCTAA